AAATTTCCAGTAACCAACCATCTTTGGCTTTAGCTTATCTAAGTTTATTTGAAACTGGACAATCCTATGATTAAAATAAACTACATTATGGAAACTGTTAATAAAAAATATTTAAAGAGAAATGCATCTAAATTCCTTCCCATGTATTCAAAGAATTCTAACAGTCATAAGAACTGGTTTGGGAGTGCAGCAGATATGGGGCATAAGGGATGAAGCAAATAAAGCTTTCTATGACAAATAATCTGAAGTCCTTCTGATCAGAGAGAACCTGATTTTTGTCCACCACTCCCTCTAGAAAGCCCAAAAACAGACTTTCCCCTATGAGATCAGCAGTTTCTGCCTAGGCAAAACTATACAAACTGAAATGGTTCAGGATTCAATGGGACATATAGTCAGTGTCCTTTCTTTGACAATGTTCAAATTTGATTCAAGTTTGAATTAGTAAGTGTAAATGTCCAAAGGCTGAGACCAGTCTCACATGACTTGTAGGTGACCTTCAGTGCATTTATGTTGTATTCATAAATGCCATCTTATTGCAAGTAACCATGAAAACGTGTCAGAAAAGTTTGTCTTTTCTCAAGTTATTTTGCTGGTTGCTCAAGTAGAGTTTCTTACTGGTAAGTTATTCCTTGAAGGTAATATTTATTGTTGCCTTCATGGACCTGAAGGGCAGTGTTGTGTCCTTGATGTTATTGTGAAGGATACAATGTTTTGGTTCATTGAATTTATGCATCCATGACAGTAGGGAGTGGTTCAACCCTCTTTTGGCAAATTGATCCATTCATGATATTTCAGCATGTAGTTTTAGCAGGTGATTGGAATACCATCTTTGATCCTGCTATAGATCATCCTGCACTTGGGTACTAAAAACCTGGATGTGAGGCAATTTTGGGACTTCATCAACATGTTGAATCTTGTCAGTAAGTTCAGAAATTAGCACCTGAAATGTGGTATGGACTAATACAGGCAGCTCAGAATCGATGCTACATTGACCCAGTTTTAAAATAAGGCAAGTCAACATAGAGGTCTTAGGGTTTTCAAGTTTTTGTAGAACAATTTATATGGACCATAGGCTTATAAAAGTTTGTGTAAAATTAGACATATCTAAGTATAGGATGAATGGATTCTGGAAATTCAACATATATCCTCTCAATGAGAAAGACTTCTAGGACCAATTTTTACTAAATCTAAAGCGGGAATTGACTGGAACTGTAGTTGGGAGTAAGATGTGGAGCCACCTGAAATCTTCAATTACATCATTTGCTACTGACTTTAGTCAAAGGCTCAATGTAGATGGATTAGCAGTACAAATGGCATACAAATATAAAGTAGACAGGGCTATAAAATCAGGAAATAGTGGAGAAGTAGCCATAGCTAGGGTGGCACAAGAATGTCTTTTGAGGCAACAAACATGGCTACTTAATTGTAAAACTACCTCCACTGACACAGTGCCTCTTTGTTTTTTAATGCTTCTTTAAGCTGTGTTTGATGTTCGACTTGACTCTGTCTTGGGTTGTACTTTAGTTTTTGTTGTCTTAATTTTTCAGTATGTTGCTGGTTTCTCTTTATTTGTGACCCTGTATCTCTGTAAACATTAGGAGCTTCAAGTTGATGAAGTCCTGCTAATTCACCTTTTCCTGGTCTTGCCCACAACTAACAACTCACTCTAATTCTTCTCCTCATTCACAAGGCAAAAGGGATTTGGTGGAAGGCAGCTCAAATGAGCCCTGACTGTGGCTTTTACACCATGAACCTTAGCTGTGGGCTGACCTGTTACAGGTGCAGCCAAGCTAAAAATTTGTGGCCAAATATCCTTGAACTTGAGAATCTTTCTTCTCTTAGCAAGAGGTGGCAACTGATGTTGTTAGAACTCCACCAGTTTCTACCCTTCAACATCCACACAGTTAGAAAAACAGGCAAAGGTGGTCCAACATAATGTTGACTCTTTATTTTCTGTTGATATGATCTTAGGAAACCCTAACAATGTTGAAAAATTGTATTAGATATGCTATCTGGTATTCTTTCAATACAAAGCAAGTGACTTCACATAAAGTTATTTGGTTTAATGTTTTTTCTATATATTTTGTTCTTATGTCTTCTTTTTAATTAAATCTTCTTTTGTCAGAACTTGACAATCTTCTTCAGTAGTATGTTCGACATGAAATAGCCTATTCCTTTCACAAGTTGTTTGGCCTTAGCCTCCAAGGATGCCAGTGATTTAATCCCTGTTTCTTTCATGATCGAACAAATCTTTTGAGTTTGCTTGTCCACCATGAAGATGGATAGGGTTCTTTTTCCAATGCATTTTTATTTGGGAGGAAAAATTAAACAAATCCAATGCTAATACCTTAAAAAACGAAAATTTCAAAATAACTAGTCTAGCATAACAAGTTTTTATGCAGAAAATATAATAAATACTGCAAGGAAAAATTCAAGGACCAAATCAAAATTAAATAAAAAACGGATCAAAACTTTCTTTTTTTTTTCTTTCTTGAAAAAAAGAAAAAAAACAAAGAAAAATGAAAACAAACAGAAAAAATAACAAATTTCAAACAGTTAAAAAACACAACTGGCTTAAAAAATGTTATAGCAAAAAAAAAGAATATGAAAAAGAAATGGTCATGCTAAAAAGAGGGAAAATTGCAAATAAAAAAATTAAAAAAACAATTAAAATGTAATAACAAAAGTATAAACAAGTAAGGACAAAAACTAAAAATGAACAAAAAAAATGCTTAACTTTCATATTTTCCCCATCCCCAGTGAATTGTCTACACTTACCAAAGAAACACAATTTATAGTAAATTCTTGTATGTAGTGCTTGACTATCATTGGTTGATTCAAATTAGCTGAAATGGCTTCATTAGGAGTACTTGCTTAATAGTACAGCATTTTCACCATGAAAAACTCCTACTACCAAAAAAACATTTATGTGCTATGATGTGAATAATTATGGCAATTCTGTAAATAAATATTAATATATTAATATTTATTACTTAATATTCATCATTTATATATGAAAAATTAATAATTTTCCTGTTTATACATGTTTAGTGTAATGTTGGAAATAGCATTTTTTTTTGTTATTAAAGATACCTTATAGAATGTTATTTTATCTACACACCTGCTTAACACTTATAACTTCTCTTAACTGCAACAATATTTAAAATTTGATTCTTGATAAACTAAAGGTGGAACTAACACTATGTTAATCATATCTATCACCATGTTTATGTGTGTTTAACAATAAAAGGTGATTGTAAACTCTGAAAAGTAAAATAAAATTTGGGAAATTCTTATTTCTTTTCTCCAATGCTGGATGGATTGCATTAGAGAAGATTTCCTTCTCTAGATTGGAGAACTACTGAGCCATTGGCAGATCATTACACCAAAACATTCACTCAAAATTGCTCCTTAATAAAGTATTAATGTTTAGTATTCTATTGCTTTTTCAGTGGTAATCAATCCACACAATTCCTTTGTGGTAAGAAAAAGCATCATTTCTTCTGCTGAGATTTCCTTTGACTTTCCAGGAGGAGATCTTCTCTGGTAAGATTTGGGCCTTACAGTATCAGTTTAAGACATGCTTGGCCCTTGAAGATTAGGGAATTGTGTGTTTAAAAAGATTAGCCCAGCATTACCTTTTATGTGACCTTAAAAAGAATAAATCCCAAAGATTAATAGCAAAGAATTTGAAACTTTTCTGATCAGTCTTCATCTTTTCTGTATTGATCCTGGTGTGAGTAATAAAAGACAAGGAGTGAATAAACTACTTCATTAAGCAATATGGTCTCATAAGAAGGAAGTTTCATACAAGGAGGGTTTGTGTATGCAAACTGTAGAAAGAAGTGGAAACAGTATTAAAGAATTTCATCATCTTCAGGTGTCTGTTATTCTGGTTAATCTTCAAACCAATGTTTTAATCCTCTAGGCTATTGTCTATAGCCCAGAAGATTAAAGAATTAGTTTGTGTAATTGGTGACATAGTAATTCTAACTTCATTCCTTGAACTGAGTAATACAATCTCAAAGTCAGTGGAAATGGGACTTGCAATAACTTTGCAGTATTAGAACAAGACAAGATATCCCAAGAAATGGTCAATGAAACCATGTGGATCAACAACCACAATAGCCAAAATGTTGGGATAATAACAATGTGATGAAGATATTAGTTCAATTGTAAATGATGTAAATAATGATAGCTCATCACCCCAAAAATTCAAACATAAAATTTGTTCCATTTTATAATCTCTAATTGATTTGACCATTTTGTATGCTTCTAAAGTTGCATCAACTTTACAAACAATGCAGTTTAAAAAATGAAAATTGCCTAAAATTGAGAAATATCTTTAATATATATATATATATATATATTGTCATCCACAGACAGACTGTTTCGCTGGATCACAGCTAATCAGTGTGGCTAGATGTCCAGTTGCCTCTAGCTAGGTTCGAAACCCAGATGAATTGGCATCAGTCAGAGAATCTACCCCTAAGCCATTGCTGCATGGCAGGGATGAAGGTGAATTTAAGCATATTTATTTTTAGATTATTGAAGAGTATTGCATTAGTAGCAGTATTGATCACTGTTTAAAAACTCACACTTTCTTCCTTGAGAGCTCAACCAAAATAATTTTTCAGGAGCATATATTGGCATCCACAGACTGTTTCGCTGTATCACAGTTCATCAGTGTGGCTAGATGTCCAGTTGCCTCTAGCTAGGATCAAAACCCAGTGTGTGTGTATATATATGTATATATATATATATATATATATATATATATATATATGTGTGTGTGTGTGTGTCAACTTCAAACCTTGTACTTTCTGCTTTAGACTATAAATATTTAGTAATTTTTATATCTATTTCCATTATGTTAAATTTACTTCAGGATATCATATCTTTCTACTGGCTTGAATTTGTTTTTCTTTTTAGGCTTTAAAATTTATTTTATAATATGCTCATTTTTTGTTGGTTTTTGTTCTTAGTGCCTTCACACCTGGATGACTGAGTATTTTCCTTCTTTAAACAGAAACATCTTTTTGGGTGAAACCTTTTCCAGTTATATCAGTGTTCACAATGACAGTCTTCAGCTGTGCCGTGACATTGCAGTCAAGGTAAGTCTTACAATGACACAATATTATCTACTTCTTTTTCGATTCTCAACTTTAAGAAAATATTTTTCATTTCCTCCTTTTTTGTGTTTTTTGTTGTGCTTATATCCATGAAAATATTCTTTTGCTAATGATAATCTTTTTTTTTACCTTTTTACAATCTTTTTTCTAAATTATCAGTCATACTTTGGATTTTGGCTTTGTGTCATTGTTCATTACTCTTTACCATTACAATTTCTACCATTCACTTTTTTAAATATTTTAATATTTGCTGACAATATATCTGCTTCTCTGTTGTACATTTCATAATGTTTAAAGAATTATCTATTCTTCTAAGTAAACAAAGTGAAATAAAACCATCAAAATATTGCTATTTAAAAGTGTGTTAAAAAGATGAATTTGTGTGAGAGGCAGAAATACACTGATAATACAATGAAACCATAAAATGCAAAAATATAAAAAAAAAACTTCTTTGATTCCAATAGGATTCTGTAGTTTATAAAATTGTACTCTTCTACTTGATATGTCTTGTAACTCTTGCCACTAAGCCTAGCAACTCCCTAATAGGTTTTGATGCCTGAAGCATATTATAAGAGGCTGCAACACAAAATGTGTTTTTGGCTTTACAAACTAATTTTCCCATTTTTATAATTCTTCACTAATGCCTTTGAATAGATCATCATGGAACTCTAAGAGTATTTTCTTTTGTGATCTTCCATCCTTATCAAGGCTAACCCTTTCATTTGCAGTTTGTTTTTCTTCATAGACAACTTTGAAGTTTCTGACTAAATGATTGTGGTTGTATTTTGGGCTGATTTCGTACTTGAGAAGAAAATGTTTTCTTGTGCTGCTGATATGTGAGCAGAAGCCAAGTGTTGTCTTTTGTTGTTGCCCATGTAAGATGAGGCTAGTCTTGTTTTTTGGTTATTTCTTTACCAATCTAGGTCAAGTAACAATCTACCATTGATGTTGCTGGCTTCTGGACAACTGACATTCACATTCTTGGATATTTTACCTTTCTGTATTTAGTTTGCTTGTCTCTTGGTCTTTTTTGTATATACGCTTAAGAGGGTGCTGAAAAATCCTCAGCTTGAACAAGAATCCCTTTAACCCTAAAAATTTGATGTTCCTTTAGATTTTTGGAAATGGGCCAAAGAATTTTCAGCTCTCTCTTTTGCGAGTGTGTATGTGTATAATCATCTGGCATGTATACATTTACTATATGTGTATGTCAGATGCTGTTGATTTTTTTCTACAAGTCTAATAATTTTGCTCACTGTTTCCTCTACTACTTCCCTAAATCAGTTAGCAATGGTCTCTTTTTCTATCACTTTCTATATAGTTGCAGCAGCAGCATCCCAAGATCCAACTTCTCTACAAAATCTACAGAATTGCTTGGACAACATTTTAAGAAATTTGTACAAAAATAACACTGAATTGATTTCTTGTCCACTTTTCAACCACACAATACTGGGATTTCTTTCTCAGATATCCAGAATATTGTCAATAAATTTTCTTAGAACCAAGCCTCTTATTGAGTTTTGCATTTCCTGGTAAAAAGCCAACAAACTCTAAGAATGATTTGTGATATATGAATTTGTTAATAGAACCTAGTTGTATATGTAGGCTTCACTAATGTATATGTTTATCTATTTAACAATTGTGTTAGCATATTAATGTTTTTTAGTGTGTACTTATGTGAATAAATAAATGTGTGTGTGTGTGTGTGTATATACATGCATATGAATGTATTAAATATTTATGTGGATATGCATTTATGTCTCTTTTGTGAACTTCTATTTTTTCCATTTAGCCAAGCCAAAGTCCAGTGGCCATTTTCTTCATTGCTCTCTTTTTTTCTCTTTCTTGGACTAATACTCTATCCAATGAGATAGCAATTTCGCTTCTTAGTCAATATTGTTTTGAGATGCTTACAAGCAGACAAGACATAATTTGTTAGTAAGTTTTCATATGAGAATGTTTAAATTCTTTCAGTTCAAGTCAATAGTTCTGCTCCTTTATTAAAGAAAAATCCATTTTGGAAAAATGATTAAGAAGAGGAAAGTTTTTTTTTCATGGCTGTCTGGTTACATTGGAAACCTAACCATACTTAACACTTTGAATAGAAATGTTTCTACTTGACCTTCTCTTCAAAGTTCACATGGTTATCTGGTTACCTTGGAAACCTAACCATAGTTAACACTTTGAATAGAATTGTTTCTACTTGACCTTCTCTTCAAAGTTCACATAGTTATCTGGTTACCTTGGAAACCTAACCATAGTTAACACTTTGAATAGATTTGTTTCTACTTGACCTTCTCTTCAAAGTTCACATGGTTAGCTGGTTACATTGGAAACATAACCATAGTTAACACTTTGAATAGATTTGTTTCTACTTGACCTTCTCTTCAACACTCACATTGTTATCTGGTTACCTTGGAAACATAACCATAGTTAACACTTTGAATAGAAATGTTTCTACTTGACCTTCTCTTCAAAGTTCACATGGTTATCTGGTTACCTTGGAAACATAACCATAGTTAACACTTTGAATAGAAATGTTTCTACTTGACCTTCTCTTCAAAGTTCACATGGCTATCTGGTTACCTTGGAAACCTAACCATAGTTAACACTTTGAATAGAATTGTTTCTACTTGACCTTCCCTTCAAAGTTCACATGGTTGATAGCCACCAATAATAAGCTTCATTGAAAATACTTTAACTTGACAAGCATTCTTTTACTTTTTACCTAAAATACAGATCTTTATAAACTTGGAACAAAATTGCCTTTTGGCAATTTGACAGTGATACAAATAAACAGTGATTAACTCAGCTGAGTTCTGAGTTGATTTTACAAGTACGCATATATTGACTATGCAGAACATAAAGGTAAAAAATTTTGTTTTAGATTTTGATAATTACTCAGAATCTTGGAATCGGTCATTTGAGAAGCTAATCAAATATTTAGAGATTTACAGCAAAGTTTGACTTTTCTTTGAATCCATATTAAACATGATTTGAGAGAAGCAATAAATATATTTTCACCATAATATATGTAATGTTGCACTCAAGGTAAGGTGTGACTGCATGTAGGTTTAATTACAGCTTTTTCTGTGTAACTATCAAAAAGATTTTCATATCTGTCTATATTTCTGAGATGAGGTATTATGTACACTATTTACATTATTCAAATTATTGTCCCCATCTTTGTTGCCATATTTATCACAATGTTTAGGCCGTTGTACACTCCGGCCTTCTTCAGGTGGTTGGAATGTCAAACTGAACCCTTTATTTCGCTCGCTGAGGTAGACTGTTCTAGTTCCATGTGCCATGTCTAATGGATGTCAGTTATCAGTTATCTCCAAGTTCTCCACCGCCTTAACCAGGTATTGAACTCACACTCTTTGGGTCCTGTCACTGGATCTAACGCCTAAACATGATAAAGGTGTTAGTTAGATCCAGTGAGTTAGTGGAACTAGAACAGTCTACCCCAGCGAGCAAAATAAAGGGTTCAGTTCGACATTCCAACCACCTGAAGGCTGGAGCATACAACAGCCGAAACACTGTGATAAATATGGCAACAAAGATGGGGACAATAGTCTGAATAATGTAAATAGTGTAAGATTTTCATATTCTGTAAAAGATTCAGATGACCCACTTACCAATATAAATAGACATAAAAAATCTAATATCATTCTAATAAGAGCTATGAATGTCAAAGAAAAATAAATTTTGCTGTTGATTTTTTTTTTAAATTTTTTATGTTTCAATTATATTTTGAATTTTCTCAAACCTTTTCAAAAATTGATCATTGGTTTGATCTTGTTTAGTAAAAAATTTTGCTTAGTTCTTTTTCTAAGATTTCAAATTTCTGAGAAAATTCAAAATTAGATTTTTTTTTTTTGTTTTATACAAGCCTAACCAAAACGTTCTCAAAAGAAAATTCTGTTGTTTTGATTGAATTCTGAGAAATAGGTTGGACCAAGAACTTTTCAGATTTCTAGTCTTATATTTTTACATCCCTTAAATGTTTAACACACTGACTGCCAACCATGAGATAAAAATTGCTAACCACATGATACATCACTAACTACAAGTTGTTGGATGCTTAACATTTACTGATAAATTTTCATCTGCGGGCACCAACAACAAATTTATTCACAGTGAAACTTTTAGTGTGAAAACAATGTTAAGACTTCAGCTGAAGCTATAAATCAACTCATAAAAAATTTTTTTATTGCTTCAGTTGACTATTATAAAGTTGGCATTTGAAGTCAAATTTCATAATTGACCTCTGGCAGTCAACATGTTAACAAGGTGTTGATTCTGGGCATTACTCAAATTACTTAAACTTTATCTTTAAAGAGAGAATACATATTGCTATTGATCTATTATATAAAGTGATTCATTTATGGTAGCAAGAGGCACTGCAGATTGATTTCAAGATTTCTGTATGATTTATTATCAAAGTAAAAAGGTGTAATTCATTTAAACTTTTATTTTTCACTCTGAAAATATCCCAATTAATCTTTATTTCAGACTCAGTTCTTCTCTTCATGTCTTTAAAAATCAAATTTCAATTTCAAATTTTCAATATAAAAATAGATACTCAGAATAAATTTTATTTAAAAACATTCTAGAAGTGACCATTTTACAGAAAGATTAATTTCTTATCAAATCTATGTCATAAAATTTACAATCCATCAATCTTGAAACTCTTTTGGAAGACTCACTCAAAAGAGCAACTATCAAATTAAAATTCAATCCTTCCATGTTCAAAGGAAATTGCCTGCTTGTCTCATCTGTAAGCCCACAAGTCAATCCTGATCAAATGTAACCAATAATGTAGCCCACACCCCTACATTGTTCTTCAAGTTCATTCAGACCCCTGTGGTTACCATCTAGCTGACACCTCACTTATTAATACATGGCTTATTTGTCACAAATATCATGATGATGGGCATGGTTCCACTTGACTTAGCTGGCATTTGTTTGTTCACAAC